TCGGAAGAAGTAGGCTCTTCAGTAGGAGTAGGCTCTTCGGTGGTTGGAGGCTCATCGGTAGTAGATTCTTCGGTAGAAGTAGGCTCTTCAGTAGGAGTAGGCTCTTCGGTGGTAGTAGACCCATCGGTAGTAGATTCTTCGGTAGAAGCAGGCTCTTCGGTAGGAGTAGGCTCTTCGGTGGTAGTAGGCCCATCAGTCGTAGATTTTTCGGTAGAAGCAGGCTCTTCAGTAGAAGTAGGCTCTTCGGTGGTACTAGGCCCATCGGTAGAAGCAGGCTCTTCAGTAGGAGTAGGCTCTTCGGTGGAAGTAGGCCCTCCGCTAGAAGATCCTTCCGTAGAAGCAGGCCCTTCAGTAGGAGTAGGCTCTTCGGTGGAAGTAGACTCATCGGTAGTAGATTCTTCGGTAGAAGAAGGCTCTTCAGTAGGAGTGTGCTCTTCGGTGGAAGTAGGCCCATCGGTAGTAGATCCTTCGGTAGNAAGGCTCCTCAGTAGGAAGAGGCTCTTCGGTGGAAGTAGGCCCATCGGTAGTAGATCCTTCGGTAGAACTAGGCTCTTCGGTAGGAGTAGTCTCCTCGGTGGTAGTAGGCCCATCGGTCGTAGATCCTTCGGTGGAAGCAGGCTCTACGGTGGAAGTAGGCCCATCGGTAGTAGATTCTTCGGTATGAGCAGGCTCTTCAGTAGTAGTAAGCTCTTCGGTGGTGGTAGGCCCATCGGTAGTAGAAGGCTTCTCAGTAGGAAGAGGCTCCTCAGTAGGAAGAGGCTCTTCGGTCGAAGTAGGCCCATCGGTAGTAGATCCTTCGGTAGAACTAGGCTCTTCGGTAGGAGTAGTCTCCTCGGTGGTAGTAGGCCCATCAGTAGTAGATTCTTCGGTAGAAGAAGGCTCTACGGTAGAAGTAGGCCCATTGGTAGTAGTTTCTTCGGAAGAAGCAGGCTCTTCAGTAGGAGTAGGCTCTTCGGTGGTAACAGGCCCATCGGTAGAAGATTCTTCGGTAGAAGTAGGCTCTTCAGTAGGAGTAGGCTCTTCGGTGGAAATAGGCCCATCGGTAGTAGATCCTTCGGTAGAAGCAGGCTCTACGGTGGAAGTAGGCCCATCGGTAGTAGATTCTTCTGTAGNAGGCCCTCCGCTAGAAGATCCTTCCGTAGAAGCAGGCCCTTCAGTAGGAGTAGGCTCTTCGGTGGAAGTAGACTCATCGGTAGTAGATTCTTCGGTAGAAGAAGGCTCTTCAGTAGGAGTGGGCTCTTCGGTGGAAGTAGACCCATCGGTAGTAGATTCTTCGGTAGAAGCAGGCTCTTCGGTAGGAGTAGGCTCTTCGGTGGTAGTAGACCCATCGGTACTGGATCCTTCGGTAGAAGCAGGCTCTTCAGTAGGAGTGGGCTCTTCGGTGGTAGTAGGCCCATCGGTAGTAGATTCTTCGGTAGAAGCAGGCTCTTCAGTAGAAGCAGGCTCTACGGTGGAAGTAGGCCCTCCGCTAGAAGATCCTTCCGTAGAAGCAGGCCCTTCAGTAGGAGTAGGGTCTTCGGTGGAAGTAGACTCATCGGTAGTAGATTCTTCGGTAGAAGAAGGCTCTTCAGTAGGAGTAGGCTCTTCGGTGGTAGTAGGCCCATCGGTAGTAGATTCTTGGGTAGAAGCTGGCTCTTCAGTAGGAGTAGGCTCTTCGGTGGTAGTAAACCCATCGGTAGTAGATTTTTCGGTAGAAGCAGGCTCTGCAGTAGGAGTAGACTCTTCGGTGGAAGTAGGCCTATCGGTAGTAGATCCTTCGGTAGAAGCAGGCTCTTCAGTAGGGGTAGGCTCTTCGGTGGTAGTAGGCCCATCGGTAGTAGATTTTTCGGTAGAAGCAGGCTCTTCGGTAGTAGTAGGTACTTCCGTGGTAGTGGAGTCTTCGGTAGTACTGGCGTCTACACTACTTGGTGGTTTTTCACTTGTAGTAGGCTCTTCACTAGGAGTTGGCTCTTCGGTGGTAGTAGGCCCATCCGTAGTAGTAGTAGGTACTGCGGTGGTAGTGGATTCTTCAGTAGTACCAGGACCTACACTGCTGCTTGGTTCGTCACTTGCAGTCGTGTTTTCGCTTGAAGTTGGTTCTTCGGTCGTACTAGGTTCTTGACTGCTTGATGGTTCCGCACTGGTTGTGGGTTCTTGTGTGCTAGGCGGTCCTGCAGTAGTGGTACTGGGGTCTTCGCTGGTAGTGGTTGTTGAAGTAGAAGCGGTAGATGTACTTGTACTCGAGGAAACTGTGCTGCTTTCGGTCTCACCGGATGACACTACACAGTAACCAGCACGTTGACTGAAAACGTATCCACTTGAGCACGATAGATATCTAATAGTGTAACTGCCATCTTCATTTAGGTAACAACCATAAAAAGTGGCCATATTATCGATGAATGCAAAGAAACCGGGTGCTGTGCAAGGATTCTTAACTACCGCCGCGTTCGCCGCGACAATGGCCGCGAGCAAACCAAGAAAAATTAATTTCATTTCGTTCGTTTATTCGCTATGAGTTTTTATTTATTTATATATTTAATTTAACCAAAAAATTTAAAATTCTTAATTTCTCCGTGGTGTTTAGAACCGTTTCGTTTAGTCGTTAAAAAATAACTGCCTTATGAGAGTTTTTATTAGCATTTATATAGAGCTTCCTAAGTGCTTAATGGTTAACAAATCAAATTTCTTGTGATTACAACTCATTAACTGATAACGTTGTGTGGCGATAAACTGATTTGCTACATATGTTTTCTTTATTTGCGTATGTTCATTTTTCATATACATACATACATATGTATATCCGCACCTACTGTTTTTTCAAGCGAAATTTAAAATCACCTTAAATTGGCTATTACTTTTTTGATTGCTTTTGTTCGGAAAATCGCTTTGTGGAATTTCGCAGGTGCAGATTAGGAGAAAATAAAAGTTATTTCTGTTGCTGAGAGTAGTTTTTTAATCGTTCGCTCTACATAATTACATAATGCCGTTGTTGCGGTCATTCTACTTTATTTTATTTTTAAGCTCATTTCTATCAAACATATACATACATACGTACATTCATCATTTTAGTATATATGTACATACATGTCAATGCTATAGCGTACAAAAACCTTTAGCAGCTGAAAAGCTTTGGCTATCCGCACATTTCATGCCAACCGCTTTATAATCTCCTTTCTTACTTAAGCATACGAAATAGTCATAGAAGCTTTCCGCGACTGCAGCAAAACTTCCCACCTGTGTACAATTGAAGTTGACCTCTTCTTCTAGTGATATGCCCTGTAATTTGGCCTGTTCTTTTGCTTCTTTTTCAGCTTTCTTCAGCAACTCTTTTTCATATTTGCGTTGTATTTTCTCACGCAACTTTGCCTCTTTGAGTTTAACCTTCTCCTCCGCTTTCATAATTTTTACCTCCTCACGCACGCACTCCTCATCCGGCGACTTACTCAAATACAAATCGTAATTCAGCGATAAGTCATGCAAACTTGTCATATCTACGAAACATTTACCCAACTCTGGCGTAAAGATCTGGCCATTGCCACACTTGACGTGATAGACGCGTAATCTTGCGCTTAAACGAGATGCCACACACCAATAATAGGATGAGTTATCGGTCGAAGCGGCAAATGTGCCCTCTGCGTTGCAATGAAATATGCCGGTGCATGGTGAGAGGTCACGAGAACAATGCAAAAGCGTCGTATCGAAAGCTTGGCCGTTTGGACAATTCTTTGGTTGTATTTGAAGTTCCCCTATGGCGCTTGGTGTACAAGTAAAGTACGAACGGCAGTCATTTTCCGCTGCAAAGGTGCCCAGTGTAGCACATAAGTTTTGTGTTGGCGCTGAAGTTGTTGTGCTATCATTCTTTGTTACCGATTCTTCTGTCATTTCAGTTGTTGGATCGGAAGCATTTTCTGTTTGAGATTCCTCCGTTAGGGTGAGATCATCACTGCTTGACTCTGTAACTTTCACTTCATCCGTTTTATTTAAACTACTAGTCATTGCCTCAGTCGTAGTTTCACTTGTATCAAGTGTCGTTAGCTCTACAGTAACTGTGTTATCCTTGATTTCTTCCTTAACTTTAGCTAATTTAGTTGCATTCACATCGGCTGGCTCAAGCCCATTTTCACTTTTAAACTCGTCTCCGTTCACTAAGTTTGTTGTAGTCTGAAATTCTATTGTGGCCAGCACATCTTTTTCGGCCGGAGAATTCTCACTTTGCCCGATTTCTGCGTTCAAAGTATCACTTCGTGGCCCAATTTCAATGTCCGCTGCACTATTCTCCGACACAATTTCTGTTGGACTGTCCACTTGTACTCCTTTTTCAAGTTCAGTATCCGTACTTCCTGCTTGTTCAAAGTCGGAGATGTTATCACTATTACTAACGCCGAAGTTCAAATCGAGCTCTTCGCTCAAGGCGGCTTCTGTGATAAAATTTTCTGTCTCCGATTCATCTAAAAATAAATGAAAATGAAGAGTATAAAAGCCCATGATTTAAAAACTACTTACTTTCGACACCCTTTCTGTAAATGTCCTTTGATATAGTCCCCTCTGCATAGCCGTCGGCTGTCACGTTCACTTCTTGTGCCAATGTTTTCTGTGTTAAAAACTGCAATGGAAACTCAATGTTCAAAAGAATGTAGTCTTTAGATATTGAACCAATTTTTTGTTTAACGCACCAAAAGAAAGCTGCACAATAAAAATAATACCAATATTTTCCGCTTCATGGTATATGTATGTAAATATATTTACAGCTTCTTTCCAATGTAAAATTTAAATATAAGCCTCGGATATATGCTATGTCTACAAATTCAAAATCCGGCGCCTAAACGATGGATGCGGCAATTCTTCTAAGCAGTTTCTTACTGAGATGCGTCTGATGCAAGAGCATTTTATATGTATTTAATGGCAACAGATTTTCAATGATCCGAGGCTTCGTCTCGAACGTTATAAAAATTATAATTCGGCAGAATCTAAGATTTGGGAATGTTTATCAATTTGAAAAATTTAAAGACCGTAGAGCAACACTGGAATTGCCAGTTCCAACCTTGAATAACTTGGTGAAGAGACGTAGTACCGAAGAGTTGAAGAAGAACTTTTGCCGCCAAATGTCATGCTCTTCGTACTGAAAAGAGCGCAGAAATTTGGCATATCCTGTATATTTCAAAAGTTGCATTTCTCTAATACCATCTTCCATAATCTCGAAAAACTATAGAAAGCTAAATGTTTATACGAAATTCAAATTCACAAACAGACTTTCCGATTTATTAAGATCGCACTAAGTACTTTATTCGAATACAACTTGATCTTATTAGATATCTTTAGCAAATATGAAAACTATGTCATGTCATCATCTAACGCATATGTACTATATACATACATTAGGGTGCATCACCAAAAAAAAAACGTTGCGGTTTTTCCACCAGAATTATAAAGTTTATTATATTTTAAGACTTTCGCTAAAATATTTCGGAAAAGCTTTAAGATTTACGTGAGCTAGACCAATTTGAAAAAACCCACCAAAAATCTGATTATTTTGATTCCGTTAATATAATTTTTAAACATTTTTATGCAGACCTTTTAAGCTTAAACTCTTCTATTATCTCAGGTGATTTTTGAGGAAAAAATATTTTAAAAACTAATTTTATTTATAAAAAGCTCGATTTTGGAGGTATTTTTTAAATGGTCCCAGCTCCCCTAAATCTTAGTAGTTTTCCCAAATATTTTGGCGGAAGTTTTAAAATATAATATATATTTTATATATCCAATAGAGAAACAGTGGTAATTTGTTTTTTTTTTGCATGGAGAGTAATGCACCCTAATATACATACATACATACAGGTAACTATTTACTACATGTTTATCGAATGGAACTTTTTCGCTGCATTCTAACATGATTCTAGTTGTTTACCACGCGTATTGACATAATGCGTGCATTTTTAAGGTGTAAACAACTACTATTTACTGCAAATTTGTAGAAGATTTTGCACAAGAAAATACATAAATTGTGTATATATGTGTGTATGTATGCGTGCACTTCCGCTGACTTGTTTTTCATTTACTAGTTGCATTAAAGAATTTTTATCACCTGTTTACCTAACTTTAAATATGTAGGAGAACTCAATAAGTGAATGAATGAGTCACGCGATAACTTATGGACATACGTTTTTTAAATTGTTATCTACGTACTAAGTGCGAGAGTATGGGAAAATCCATAAGTGGTTAGCGAGAGGGCACACATATGTTTACCATGTAGATTTCATAATTTTATAGATTGCTAACGTTTCATGTCTTGAAATCGAGAGGCATTCATAGGTTTTGGACAAGCTTTGGCTGAATGCCACACCATGCTCTGGCACACAGACGGGGTAGAGGTGGCTTTTCAAACAATTTCAATAAATATCTGACAAAGCCCGTGATTCCCAATTTCTTTTCCATACTTAAAACACTGAAAAGGATTATTTTTTAATTTTCCTAAAATCTTAGTTTGTCTGTGGCTAAGAAATAAGAATTTACATCCCTTCAACTTATTTAAAAATTCACTTCAAAACTCCCTAACAGAATCTCAAATTTTAGGTGAAACTAGGATCCAGTATCACCATAATGCATGCATGGCTTCACAAACAGAAATCCAAAGGCGTAAATTACAGGATTTTGGTAACCAAGCCACATCGCCGAATCCCGATCCACTTGATATATAGAAGGAACACTTTTGATTGCCAAGTGGTCAATACTTGTGTACAGGGACGAAGCTCATATCCATTCCCATTCGACCCAGACCAGGTGAGAGTAGTACTAAGGTGGTTCAAAAATAATAAGACCTCCGAAGGAAATGATATACCAGTTGATGAAGGTTGTTAAAAGCCTTCTTAATTCAGCATTCCCTCCAGACAGATAAAATCCAACATTCAATAGATATTCCGAGTACGTCAAATTTGGGAAACACCTTTGATAAGCAAATTGCCACATAAGCAAATTAGTCCATTTTAAAGCCGATTATTACAGCAGAAAAAGAAACTGTCTATACATCGCCATGCTAAGCACGACTAGGAAGAGCAACACTGAGCACAATTTTCAGCTCCTTACAAATTGGGTGGGGCCATACAGCGCCGGTCGATGCTTTTAAACTGAAAAACTCAGCGACTTCTTCAAATCTGATGTTGGAAAGCGTAATATAAGCTGCTGCTGGGTATTCGGATTATACTAACATTGGCATTGGCCTCAAAACCAAGGCCATCAGCTTAACTTTTTCCAGCTTTGAGAAGAAGTTTGGTCTAGTGGTGAATGAAAATAAGACAAAGTACCTTCACGTAATTGCTGGCAGTTACGACTTTGCAATAGTAAAATTTTCTTTTCTATCTTGATTCCAGCATTAACACTACCACATCCTCGTTTTTTGGATGACTATTATAACTCAAAAAAAAAAACGAATTTTTTCCCCTTATTATCGTCGAACCTTAGTTTGGACACTTACTTTGATCAAAGACTCGTTACACTGGACCACAAATTTTAGTTTGGTTTTTTTCTCCAGACGCCACTATCCAATTCCTATGTAGAATTGCTCGGATTTTTTGTTTTTTTATGAAAAAATTGAAAAAAATTAAAGTTTAACTGGGTAAAAATATAAAATAACGACTGTTTTGTTTTATTTAGTTTTTTGTTAATTAATTTCCCAGAAACTATCAGGCCCATCGAGAAGTCATGTATATACGGTTTATGAAGAATTGCATTGGCTCGTAAGATATACGTGATTAAGTGGAACCACTCTTTTATTAAGCTGAATAACGGTAAATTGCAAATATCTCGAAAACGTATCCACACAAAACATAGCCCCCATACCTTAAGGTAAGACGTATTCTACGTCAAAAATTAACTCGATTTTCGGAATCACCGAGCAATTTTGCATAGGAATTGGATAGTGGCATCCATAGAATTTTTTTGCTGTAAAACAGTGTTATTTTCAAGTTATAAGAATTAATCAAATTAGAGAAAGACAGACACAATTAATCTTTACTTTTCCCATTCAAATTGCTAGCATTATCCCCATATTGTACTACGTCGTTTTGTTTTCTAAATATTAATGAACCCTCCGGAAACCACTTCTTGCTTGGCAATGATTTCCGCTCATAAGAACTTCTTTATCGCATTTCTAAATGACAGGTCATAATATTTTTAATATTACCACATCAATCTATATAAGCAAATAAATATTTATAATTATTTTTAAAATACATGTTCATTAGACCAAACCAGAAAAAAAAGTTCGCCGTACACAAGGTATTTTTGCAATGCTATTTCGGAAAAAACGAACGTTTTTATGTATGCATCGCCTTTTTACATTTTTTGTCATATCTTCTTATTTTGTTCCAAAGCTCATTAGCTTCAAGCAACTCGTTCTGGTACTTACGCACCAAATATCAGTTCTTAACAACCCTAATGTTTGTAAATTAAAGCTCACTGAAACGCTTTAAACTTTTTATCATGAAGTATTTAGATTCGAAGGCAATTTCGAATTTATTTTTGGAAGAACGTAGGGGTCGTCTGTTGTCATTTTTATTCATATATTCGGTATTCACAGTCGGATCTTAAAGTGTAATGCATCGATGCTTTTGTTAGGGGAAACATTTTTTTTTTATTCCAAAGTTTATTAGCGTCTGCTATTTACCCAGTTCTTACCACCCAAACATACCGCTGCAAGGTCAATACAACAATGCTCTTCAAAATCGCTAAACTAAAGAGACTTTTTTTCATTATTCCAGTAGAACTAAAAATTATTTTACTGCCGAATTTAGGTGTAACCGAAAAATATAAAAACGCGACCCCTGAATTCGGCAAAAAAAAGGTTTTCGAAATTGCCTTGCAAAAATATTTTAAACACGGACGGTCGAATGTGCATGCATATAGATTTTTGTATCAAAAACTTTGTTATCATTGCCAATCTATTTTGTTATCATTTATTTTTCGCGGAAAAATTAAATATTCTTCGAATGTGTTTTTAACTTGTATTTTGCAAGCTTTTTCTCTTCGCTGCCACACCTCGATAAGTAAAAATATACCGCAGAGCAAATTTCGGTTAAGAAAAAGTTTCGCATAAAAGTAAGTCCAAGAGGGCGTGAGAATATCTGTCATGAAAGATAAGAAATAAAAATAGAAAAAATATATACCTAGTAGTACATACACTTGCGGTCGGCTGATTAAGGCAAGTGACATTTTGATTAGACTTGGCTATTTTTCTTTTGTTTATTTAATGTTTATATTTTTTTATTAAAGCTTAGAACTTTGCCTAACCAGCCCCACATAAATTCACATTTCTCCCTTATGTACAAACGAAATTGTCGAGCATATTTTATATGGAAGAAAATGCACAACACCGTCGCCAAAAAAAAAATTATTAAAAATCAACGCGATTTTCTAGCGTCTTGAAATTTGCACTTGAACTAACTAAAATTTAATGAGCTATAAAACTGCATACCCAAAATTTTTATAAAAAATTCAGAATAAAAAGTATAAAATTTTCGGGTGCAAATATAAAAGTTGGTTAAATTTTCATAATATTTGAATGAAATTTTAAATGTCAATTTATGTGAGGCTTGTTAGGTAAAGTGCTAGAGTTTTATATAAAAAATATATAAACATTAAATAACCAAAAAACAAATTGCTAAAAATAGTCAAAATGTCACTTGACTTAATCAGCTGACTACAGGGGTATATTGTAAGTCTGATAAAATCTGTATCAACAGCTTTTCGGAATATTAATATCTAATCAAAAAGTATTTTTAACAAATTTCTCTGGCTGTAAAATTGTGCTATCTTGGTGTGTGGAGAACTGAGTCGTTACGTGATCAGATATCGTTCAGTAGAATGTGTTTTGCTTATGAATTTACGAATTTAAAATTAGATAATAAATACATATGTATGGGCATATGTATATCTCCAAACGAATAATAACTGTATTACATTTGGTTTTTTATTAACAAAAAAAATTAATGAAGTGGCAAGCGATCTCTTCAATGAAACTTGTTATGCATTTGATGACGGTTGTGACATATGAGGAATCTTTGGAAGCAAGCTACTTATCCCAACTGCATTTTAGACAAATACATACATAGTATGTATGTACACATTTTTCTTTTGTTTATTTAATGTTTATTATCTTTCCATAAAAGTCTAGCTTATTATACAACAAACATCACATAA